TCAAATTGATTCAAATTGATTTGATCAAATATTTGAGTTCAATTCGATTCGATTCGATTCGATTTGAAAAAATCAAACAAATTCAAATTGCTTAAATATTTGATTCGATTCGATTTTGAGGAACCCTATAATTAAGACTAAAATATACTTCAAAAATATTTCTTTCTTATATGACACACCAAATGAACTTAGTATTTGGTGATATATTTAAAGAGAATGCAATATTTCAAAAAGTTTCTAAGAAAGCAGTTCAAATTGTTAGTTATTTTCATAATTCTACATTTTTTACAGGAAATTTAAGAGATAAATAGGAACAAATTTATAAAAAGACAATTAAATTAGTATCACTAGGTAATACCAAATGGAATTCATATTATTTTTGCTTTTATTTAATTTTAAAAACTCAAGCTGCCTTAAAGGTAATTAATTAATTATTTAATTTTGTTTATCTCAATTATTATAATCTATTATTAAAATTTTAAATTTTTTATAATAATATTAGTTTTAATCTGCAAAGTTTAATCCAGAACATATCAATGTTATTTATACAAATGGTATTTCTAATAGTACAGTTAATAAACAATCAAAAAGAAGTAATGGAGAATGAAAATTACCTGATGATATTGCAGATAATATTAATGATTCAGAATTTTAGAAGACATTATTTTCTTTACAAAATTTATTGTATCCTTTATATGAACTTTTAAATAAATTACAAAAAGATACTGCAAGACTTTATGAGATAATACATTGTTTTGTATATGTTACAAAAATATTTTTGGAATATCATGATTCAGATTTTTTAGAAAAAATAATATTTAAAATGGAGAATAGATGGAAGGATTAGGAACAGCCACTTTTATTACTTTCTATTGCTCTTCATCTATCCTATAAGATATTAAAATTTTGATCAACAATAAACAATTTAACATGATCACATATTAATCAATAGTTAAAATATTATTATCTTGCTTTTTTTGGAATTCTGACTAGAACAATTTTAATAGAATTAATTAATTACAAAAGAGAAGATAATCCATATGATAATGATTCTTTTCTTCAATTTCAAGGAAATGTATTAGATTTTTAGAATCGACAATAGGAATTGGACCAGAATTAGCAAAAGTAGCTATTCATATTCATGGTATTTGTGTTAATTTTGTATCAGTTAAACATTTATGGTCATCAATGAGTTTTTTTCATACTAATAGGTGAAATCGTTTAGATATTTAACACTATATTTAGAAAAATTAAACCATTTTTTTTAAAAAAAACTTGGATTTATTTTTTTTATTTTTATTTTATTTTTATTTAGCATACAAAAGTTCTTGCGATAAGTAAAATTTGTAATGACATTTTATATCAATGTCGAATTAGAGAAATTATACAAACTAATCAGCAAATGAAATAGCTTAATATTGTAACTCTAATTGCTGATGATTTGTTTAAACGAAATTTCTATTACAAATCATTATAATGAATTTCATAACAAATTGTTTAACAAAATTCATTATAATTCATTTAAATAAAATTCATATAATGAATTTAACTGAATTTGTTTAACGAAAACCATAATGAATTATTTAAATGAATCATTATACAGATTCATTTAACAAAAATTGTAACGAATCATTATAACGAATTTTGTACAATTCGTTTAAACGAAATTGTATAACAAATTTTATTACAAATTTAACAAATCTTGTTAATGAAACTTGTTAGCGAATTGTTACCAATCAGTAAATTCTAATTGAATAATAATCATCAATCGGGTATTAACTGATTGATAACTAATTATTAATTGAACCCGATTTGTTATTATTTAACATATAGTTATAAATTTTTTAAAATAAGTATAAAATCAGATTGGAAACTGATTTATGTAATTCTATCTAATAATTATGATTATGATATTAACTGATTCATACCCGATTGTAGTATCTACTGATTTTTATCTATTGATTGCTGATCAAAAAATAGTGACCAATTGAAAAGGTATTCAATTGATCAGCGTTTGACTTGTGATATGTATGGTATAATTTTAAAAGATTCAAAAGCGTCTTATTGTGAAAATATACGATTTAGCTATATATTGCCAGAAAAAATCCCTAGTGTTAGAACATTTCATCAGAACAAAGTACAGCAATTGTTTTTGAAGATGTATGTGTGATTTCTGAATCCATCCAAAATTGAATTATTCTATTTTTTATACATAAGCGTTATAAAATCATTTCAAGCATATATGTAACATAACATTACTATTATACACCAATAATTATCCATAAAAATATTTTACATCTAGTAGTCTTTAATGGTGGCAGTTTCTATTAAGATATTTCCAAGATCATTGGATGATATACTGAAAATATGAAAAATACCTCTATGGCTGTTAATAGTTATCATCGAAAAGGTGAATTTATTGTCTTTGATCTAAATAAATCAGATGATGATCCACTGGCAATTCGGTTGAGATTTGATATTCCATTAGACCTTCAAAAAGAGATAGAGTTATGAGAGAAGTGAAAAAAAGGATCATAAAGATTCATTTCTGAAATTAAAGTTTTGATTTTTTGATGAAGAATCACCTATTTGCAATGAGAAAGTTGACAATAAACAATGCTTGTGCAATTGCTAAAAAATGTGGTGGGCTTTGTCTTTCTACTGAATATATTAATGCTATCATTCCAATGCGATGGCGATATGCAGATGGTCATGAGTGGACTACATCTCTTAACAATATAAAGAATGGTAAGACATGGTGTCCATATTGTGCAAATAAGGCCAGTCATATAATTGAAAATGCTAAGCAAGTAGCTTTTAGTAAGAATGGAGAATGCCTTCCCGAAACTTATGATAATAGTTTTTCACCTTTATCATGGCATGAGTGGAATGCATTTTTTAACAATGTGAAAAAGACGTGGTGTCCATATTGCGCAAATAATAGGTCTTGTACACTTGAAGATGCCAAACAATTGGCTTATAATAGAAAGGGAGCTTGTCTTTCTGTATATTATATTATTAATCATTCAGCTTTATTATGGATGTGTGATAAAAAGCATAGATGGTTTGCTACTTTTGATAACGTTAAACATTTAAACTCGTGGTGCCCATTCTGCCCGAAATATAAAAGAGAAAAGCTATGTCATGAGATTTTAACAAAATATTTTGGCCCTCCTTCACTAATCCGCAAACCTAATTTTCTCAAAACATCAGGATGTCCCACAGGATTAGAACTTGATATTTATTATCTAGATTATGGCTTTGCAATCGAAGTACAAGGCGTATAACATGAAAAATATATCAAATTCTTTCATAATGGCGATCCCAATAATTTTATCAAACAGCAAGCACGGGATCAACTCAAGAAAGAATTATGCGAAAAGAACCAGATTGCATTAAGGTATGTTTGGTATTACGAAGACCCATACATAGTTATCCCTAAGCATCTTCGAGAGTTGGGTCTTATTAGATAAACTCGAAACTTCAAATGCCTTATAATTATAAGATTATTTTTTCATATTTATTCTGACACACATATCGCAATATAAAAGTTACTGGACACGTTTCACTGGATATGGCGAAATAGTTTCTGAAGTAAAATAATGTGATAGAATTTGGTGTTTGTCTTTATTTTAAAATTTTCAGCTTATTACAAATGATGACGCGAAATATAATTACAACCTTACAACCTCGAAATGTTCCTATGATACTTAATTAAATTATATTTACTTTTTAATCTAAGAAAGATTCATGCTTAATGATCTTCATATTTCTACCCTTCTTACTTGCCGGGCTTTGTGAAGGATTTCCAAATGATCCCCCTTTCTCACCAGCTTGTTCCGGATTCTTCCTTTTTCGATTCCTGTGTGCACGTGAATGTGCAAGCGAGATACTATTTGTATGTTCACAAATAGTATTCAACGTGGTCTGAAATTAGGTGATTATAATAGTAAGATTCTAAATATTATCAGTGTAGTAATGATAAACATATAATACCTGCAAATCCGTGAAAGTACGTAGAAACTTTCGAGTACCGAGAGTGTTTTTAGGGTGTTGGGCATCTTTGAATGAGAAATACAACCAAGCCGTAGTATATTCGTCGCTTTACAGTCCATCCCATATATATTATGAACCCATCCTTAGCAAAAAACAAAGAAAAATCGTTAGTTGATGCAATTTCATTACTACGACTGTTTCTCCTGCTTAATTACCCCATGAATGTATTCCGAAGACAAATGTGGAATGAATGTCAGAGCTAGGTGCTTTAGAATTCCCTTTAAAGAACGTATACAAGATATCCCGCATTGCCACGCTTATATCAACTTTGTCTTCGTAAATTTTTTTTCGATGAGGCTCTGGGAGTCCACCACTTCTGAGACCTATGAGAGCCTCAAGCTTGTTGATACTCTTTTTCAAAGTTCCTCGAAAATCGCACTTTTGTCCAATGCGAGCTCTGAGAACAACGGAACGACCTTCATTTCGGCGATAAGCTGACGCCCAACATGCAATTTCCCCACTATAAAATTATGAAAGATGGAATTTGATTACATGAAATCAGACTGGTCCTATTGTTTATCTATACTTACACATCCATCTTTAATTCCTCCCTATTTAGGAATCTTTTGGCAAGCATGTTTGGAAATGCGTTGTCAAAGTCAACCTCGGAAATGGGAAGATCAACTCTTTCCAGATTTTCATCACTATATATGGAAGAATTGACCGTAAGGAAAACAGAATAAAGTTTTTGATAATTACATTTTGCTTCACTCACTACGTAACAACAGTACGTCTTAAAATGGAAATAACATTTTTTTCCTCATCGCTAAGCTTTACTTTTCGATTCGTTTCAATAATTTCCGGTGTTAATCTATCGATCGCGTTGATGATATCTTTATCATCTTTTTTTTGTAATCTAAATCGTTCGAGTCAGCAACATTTTTCAAAGTGTTGAAACAAGATAAATATTTTCTCTTAACTTACTTTTTCAACTTCATCGAAAAAATACTCTACCACATCAAGAAAATCCGATTCGATCAATTTAACTTCATTATTGAAACTTTCAACCATTTCCTCCCAGTCATTCGTCGAGAAAAGAGATTTCATTTGTGTATTCTCATCAGTCAAATCAAGTATATTCCAATATGCGAGGCTATAAGTGAAAAAAATCCATAATTAAAAGAATCATCATCAAACATCCATATTATCTATCAATAAACCTACTTCAAACATTTTTGGGCCTCAGGAATCGTCTTGATATAACTTGTTAATTTATCTCCTACGTTCGTACCACTACGGAGGATCCATGGACGCTGACAAGTTGATGACATTGGCTTGGATTCTTCCATACGTTCCACGAAGTTAATATTATCACTATCGTTGCTGGCAACACCATTACTAATCTTGTCACTATTTCCCTTGTCCATAGCGAATTCATCGATTTCATCCGCGGGTTCCTCTTCTTCCTGATCTTCTTCACTCGCATCTGGATCTGGATTAGAGTTCGCGTTTTTTGATGATGGCCCATCCTGTAATAAAAGTTACCCAACCTTTTAAAAGCATACTCATTGAAAGGCTTAATTTGTTTTAAAAGATTGTACCAATTCTTCCTCTTCAAGCAACTTAATAACTTGGTTCGTTTGATTGCTGGTTGCAACATTCAGCATATCTAACGCAGAAGATTGTGTTTTGTTTTTCACAGCCAACTGTTAAGTTAAAACCGTTCATATTAATAACTAGTGTGATGATTCTATTAAATATTTAAATCCATATTTTCATACTTGTTTCGCCTTCAGTGCTCTTTCTTGTTCGATACGATTCCAATACTCTGATATTTCTTGTTTATTGCTCTTCTATAAAAAAGCGAATCTTCATTATATTAGTTCAATTCTAAATATTCCAAATGTGCAAGACAATTCCATGTTGAGAGCTTGCTATATATAGCACCGAGGGCGTTACCTAACTCCAAGAGGTCAAGGGCGTTACCTTCCTCTCAGTGGTGCAATATAAGCAAGCTTACAAAATTCTGTGAGAGGGCGTTACCTAACAACCCCCGGTAAAGGACGTTACCTTCCAGGAGCTCCACAGATTTTGCTATTGATACCAAAAGATAGAAAAGTATTTTTACAGACCTCATTTATGAGGAAAGTAGCTGTCTTACTTCTCTCTTGATCTTGACACTTTTCAAAAGACCTCAGTACAGCCAAGAAACTTTTTCTCCACGAAGATTTTAATGAAGCTATGGAAGCATAATCGTAGAAGTACGGCTTCATTGCATCCAAGTATCCAAGGTAAGACCAGTCATCTACGGCAGTCGTTTTGAAGTACTGTTCACTAACTGAATGATAACGTACGAAATGAGGCTAGTTCGGCAAAAATAAGGCAAAAGCAACAAACATACCAACAGCAAGCGCGTTCTTTTCCATAACTAACAGTTAAAATAGTGTCTATGAAAATAGCGATTTAAGATATACCCAAAAATTTTACGTCACGCGTTTAATGTCAGTTATGCTAAGCCACTTCATTAAAAATCACGTGCTCGTTCTTGCCCGTGTCGGAATTACAGAATTAAAAATATTTTTCTTTAAGGTTCTCCACAAGATGTGTCCAAGATAGCCGGTCGTTATACCGATGATGTAAAAAATGCATCAATGGTCATTAATAGCTATCTTCGCAAAAAAGGTGAGTTTGTTGTATTTGATCTCACTAGGCCAGAGGATGATCCTCTTGCAATCCGCCTAAGGTTTGACACTCCACTAAACCTGCAGAAAGAGATAGAGGTGAGGAAGAAGCGCAAGGAAAAAAGTAGTCAAGCTAATTCATGCAAAGTGTCTCTCGGCTAATTTTCCTCCAAAATGATGATATTGTTTTTATTATAATAATATTCACATTATACAAGAATTGGGTGATTTCTAACAATATAAAATAACGAGTGAAAAATACTAATAGCTAGATATTAATTATTCCTATCATTACGAGTGTAGTGGTGAGGAAGAACCTCCATTTTCTTTATATGGCGGTGGTGATGGGGTTTGATGTCTTGCAATATTTTCTTCACAAAGCCGATCATAGTCAGTCACTAAAGTAAAATAAAGTATTAGAGGATTAGTATATCTTCTCATAAATATTTCCTTCCTCTGATCAACTAATCTTTACCTGGTATCTTTTAGAACTGTTCTTTGAATTCCTCATAATATTTGAGGCTGTTCTTAGTCTTTTTTCTATTAGCTTTACCATTGATGTATGCTTCTATATGCTAAATAGAAAAGATAAATTAGTTTGATATCAGACGCTGTGCATAGCTGAGGCTTCAGAGATTTCAGAAGGATTTCTACATACTTTACAATTAAGTTTGAGACTCTCAAACTTTTTCCTACAATAAGTATCAGTATAAGACGTTCCAAACTGAAGATTGATCTTTGTGGAGACTTTCTTTCAGAAAATTCTCTTTCCATTCACAGCTAGTTCATGAAACATTTCGTTATTTTCTTTGCAGTTGTCAATCAATATTTGAAGTTGCTCATCTGTCCACATAGCTAAAAACTTTCTTATTTTCTCAAGTATATAAAAAAGATCTCTCCAAGACCAAGCTATTATATATATCTTCCTTAACCATATATAAGGTTGCTGGACGAAATCAAGAGTTTAGACAGACGTCTAAATAGTAAAAGTAAAATTTGGTTAAATTATATTAAAACCTTATTAAAAAATCTGCAATTTGGAAAAAGGTAAAACTATATCAAAGCTTATAAAAATGGCGAAACTATATCAAACACTTAATAAAAATTTAGTGAAACTAAAGGTTTAACCATTTTGCAAAATCCAAAATGAGTTTAGACAAGCAACCTTAACCACATATTTACAATTACATAGGGAGAAAGATTGGTAGACCAAGTCATCTTATATCAAATGATTCTAATATATTAATGTGGCTTAGATTATGCAAATAGATTTGAAAATTTTCAGCCAGGCTAGTCGGGATCAAATCACGTGAAATTAAGATTTATTGGCTAGATAAAAATATGTCATGATAGGTTCAAAAGAATTATCACGTTAATACCACTTCAAATAATATATATGGGAAGTTTGCTAGGAAAATAGGGTTCTGAGACATTTTTTAAAAAATTGAAATTTTTGATACATATTAATCTATAACTTATAAACTTTAATTAGTTAAAATTTTATATTACATTAGCTTATTTTCAAAAAAAAAATTTATAATATTAGGCCTGTTCAATTCCGATTGATGCAATTTTTGATGCAAATTTTGAGCAGTATGGTTGGCCAAAATTTTGCATCAAATTTGCATCGAATGCATCAACTTTTTTGTAAATGCACTTGATGCAAATTATTAAACAGCCAATTAAATTTATGTCACACCATTTTTTTTTTAGAAATCTCCTTATTCATCAAAAACGAACTTTAAATTTTTTCGCGTTACAGATTTTTTTATTTATAAGTACTTATCGTTATGGATAATATAACTAAAAATCAAAAATAACAACTTAAGAATTTGCCACCTTTACTTCCAAAATATCAGCAGGCAAATATTTTTGAAAAACGCGAAAATGTAGAATTTTCAAAATTATATAATAACGATAATATGGATTCATTTTCTAGAAATTATCTTCCTTCTAAAAATCTGAGTACTTCTTATTCAAGTTCTTTAATGATGCCATATCCATATATTATTTCTCAACCCTCCAAACCACTTTAACAACTACAACAATAGCAACTGCCGCAACAACTACAATAGCAGCAACTGCCCCAACCATCTCAACCTCTTCAACCTCTTGAAATTCAAAATCAACCTAATATGAAGGTATTATTTCATGAATTATTTTACTCTCTCTCTCTATATATATATATGTATTTAATACATCATTTTTTTTTATTTAAGAACAGGTTTAATAATAATAATAATAATGCTGGTTCATCAAAAACAAAATCACAAGGCAATAAAAAGAGAAAAGCCTCAATAGAAATTATTGAAGAATAATCATCTAAATGGGACAATTCTGAAATTACTTTACTTATTGCATATATTCAGAACAATGTTTCAATATGATCTAGCAATAAAAGTAAGTTTTATGATTCAGTTTCAGCTAAAATTCTTCCAAAATTTTCTAGTGAACAAATAAAAAATAAAATAGGAGGATTAATGTGTCAATATGATAAAGTTAAGCAAAAAAATAATCAAACCGGAGCTGCAAGAATAGACTGAAAATGGTATGAACAACTGGATAAGGTTTAGGAACGCGTGAAACAACAAGTCAAGTTTTATATCTGATAGATCAACAATCGATATTGAATCTATGAAACAAGAAAACAAGTTATTGAATCTAAAACAAAAGATCTAAAACTTCAACTAACTCTATTGGAGATGCTATTTTAGCAATAAGTTTGGCGAGAGAAAAAATGTGGGAAAAAAAATATGAATTACAAGAAAACGAATTAAATTTTAGAAAGGAAAGAGCTAATCAAGAATTAGCAATTGAAAAGGATAAATTAGAAATTGAAAAATTAAAAGCACAAACAGAGGTTGAAAAACTTAAAGTTCAATTAGAACATGAAAGACAATTAAAAGAAATGGAATTTAAATATAATAATAAACAATAAAGGTTTTATTCATAATAAAGTTCATTATCAAACATTATATTATTTCTTTTGTGTTGACCTGCTAATTTTAATTTATTATCATTAAAATCATTATTTTCTTGATTTTCGTTATCTACATCTAAATTTAAATCTAAATCTAAATCTCAAATATCTCCATTAAGTTCCAAAAAATTATAAAGAATTATAGCGCAATCAGCAAAAAGAATTAAATATTTAACTTCTTTAACAGAGCATCCTTTAAAGAAACAAATCTTGATTTTAATCTTCCAAAAGCATTTTCTACTATAACCCTATGTTTTGAATGTATTAAATTAAATTTTTTTTGTTGTTGATTTGATGATAAATGAAAAGGTGTTATTAAAAATGGTAAAATTGGATATGTGGAACCTCTAAGTAAATAATCATTATTGATAATTAATTCATTTTTTTTTTTATAAAAACTTGAATTTTTATAAACTTTTGCATTATGTACTGAACCCGGCCAACCTATATCATAACTAATAAAAATTTCATGAAAATCTACTATTTCTTGACATTGAATTAAGTAACATTTTTTTCGATTAAAATATAATTCCGGAGAATTAGAAGGTTTATTGTTTAAAATTAAATGAGTTCTATCAATAGCACCAATTACATTTGTAAATCCACCAATTAATTGAAATCCTTTATGAGCTAATTTTCGCTGCTCTCCTTTTGGCTATTAAACAAATAATGATTTTTTTGAAATTATTACTTTAATTACTCTTTTTATATATAAAAATACAGTTCCTTCTGCAATACCAAATTGTAAACATATTTCAAAAATATTACTTTTACCCCCAATTCTGTGTAAAAAAACTGCTAATTGTAATTCTACTGATGCTTGTTTTTTTTTGTCTTTTAGTTTGAAAATTTTCATGATCAGAAATTAAATTAACTAAAGTTTTAAAATGTTCAAATGGCATTCGTAATATTT